CACACACAGCACACACACACATACAGCACCCACACACACACACACAGCACCTTCACACACATACACCACACACACACAGCACACACACACACATACAACACACACACACACAGCACACACATACATCATCTTCACAAATACAGCACACACATACAGCACCCACACACACAGCACCCTCGTACATACAGCACCCTCTCACACACAGCACAGAAACAGCACCCTCACAAACACACACACACAGCACCCTCACACACACAGTACACTAACAGGACCCTAACAAACACACACACACACAAACACTCTCACACTCACACAGCACCCACACACTTACAGCCCACACATACAGCACCCACACACACACAGCACCCACACACATACAGCACCCTCGCACATACAGCACCCTCTCACATACAGCACCCTCGCACACAGAGCACCCTCTCACACACAGCACAGAAACAGCACCCTCACAAACACACACAGCACCCTCACACACACAGCACACTAACAGGACCCTAATAAACACACACACACACAAACACCCTCACACACACACAGCACACAAACAGCACCCTCACACACACATCACACTAACAGCACCCTAACATACATCACCCTTACACACACACACACACACACACACAGCACCCTTATACACACAACACCCTCAAACCACCCTCATGCAGCACACACAGCAGTGTATGTATGTGTGTGTTTATATATATATATATATATATATATATATGTGTGTATGTGTATATGTGGAGAAACCGACCTCGCCACTGGTCATTGGAGAAGACTGATTGCCAGCCTCCTGCCCTGTGACTATGGCCCCATGTTGAAATGCTGGATTTTCCCCTGCAAAGACACGAAAACCGGGTCATTCGGTACTTTCCCTATGTGAGCAGTGTTACCCCAGATAGCTATGCCATGGAGCCCATTCGTATAATGAAAGACTATGTGAAAGACTTTGGCTCCATGGCAATTGAACTGTATGTATGTGATCTGAGCGCAATTCAGTAATAATTTGCGCTCAGATCCAAGCTATCTGGGGATATGTTGCATGTCTGTATTTTATGTAATAAATGTAACCTTGTGTATTTTATTGTATTTTACTGTCTTCTACTGCCATGTGGTTAATGGAGTTTTGCCTCTGTCCTTGGAGATAATTGGATTACTTCCCAAATATCTCCAGGATAGAAGACACTGTGCAACTGGTTTTGGGCAGAAAAACCATGCTTCATTTGGTCAAATAGGACTTTCCCTTAACTTTTTAACCCCTGAACCAATTGCTCTGATTTGAATATGTGTATATTTCAAGCATGCGGATTCTGAATATGTAATTTTTATGAAGATTGGACGTATATTTTTAAAGTTATAGCACATGTATAAAAACTGTATTTTTCCTGCTTGTGATAATTATGTTAACCCATTGTGTAACATAATTATATCATAGGCAGAGGGGAGGGTTTTGTGTATAATTGCTGGGAGTGTTTTCTGTAATGTACGTGTGTTATTGGTTGTTCTGTAAAACCCTGTGGGCAGTACTAAATTTGTAGATTGGGAATAAAAGAGGCTGTATGTAACCTTGAAAAAGACCTGCAGAGGTCGAAACGTTGGTTTTTCTTTTGCACATGATTTAAAATAAAACTGAATTTTTTTTGCACAAGTCCTGAGAGTGCATCTTGGATTATTCTTCAGTTATATATGGAACGCATACCTGTTTGCACCCAGGCGGATATAAAGGATTTCAAGTAAGGAGAGTGCCAAGCTACTTATCTTTTATATATATATATATATATATATATGTGTGTATATATATATATATATATGTATATATAAAGCACAAATAATGGCACTCACCCTTCCTGATGTAATGAATAGTAAAGTGCCCTGGTGTGATCTTATGCTGATAAATAATTATATTGAAGAAAGATGCACTCTCCGGTCTTTTTAAGAATATTAACGGTCTTTAATCCATCAAAGGTTTACAGGTTGTTTGATCAACGTTTCGAGTGATATAGTGATATATACGTATATACTTATGTATATAGATATATATATTATTTCATTCTACATGTATTTTGATATAAATATATATATATATATAAATTTTAAAATACAGTTAGAACGAAATTACACATGTATATATATTTTTTATCTATTTATTTATTTTTTTATGTATTTTTAACGTATTTATATATTTATTTATTTTTGATTATATATAAATATATATATAATGAAAATTATAAATATATTTAATCAATATCATTGTACGTGTATTTTGATATTAATATATATATAATTATGTATATATTAATATTAAAATACACGTAGACAGTGTATGTGTATTTATGTGTATGTGTGTATATGTGTATATATATATCTATGTATATATTATTTATTTTTACACTGTTTTAACATCTTTTAATTTTATTTTCAGACAGCAGGGGGAGTACCTGTCATTACAGGCACTCCCCCTGCTGGCAATGCCTTGGACGGCAATGCCGTCCATGTGATCGCGGGGTCCTCTCAAGGACCTCACGATCACATGGCCCCGGGGGTGCCGAAGAGGACGGAGGGAGACTCCCTGGATGCTCCCAGCTAAGTCCCCATACCGCGATCGCCGGCGACCGGGTAAGTACAAAAGATCGCAGGGCGTTCTATGCCGCGCTGCGGCGTTTAGAGCCATCTAAATAAGGACGGCATAGAACGCCCTGCGGTCTTAAGGGGTTAATGTAAAATTTCTAAACTCCTGCTGTTAATAGCTTGCTGGACCCTGCAGTAGCCTCCTGTTTGTGATTAAATTTGATGTTTACAGAGCAGGAGATATAAGCTAAGTAATCACTAAAGTACTAAACTTACTAAAGTAAGTTACATATGATTAAAAATGAAACAATTTTTCTTTTCATACAGGCGCTGTCAGTCACAACTAGGGGAGCATAAACAGAAACAAAAGTGAGTTAACTCCTTAATGGCAGTTAATTGAGCAGTGAAACTTCAGAGGCAGGATCTATACACTAAAACTGCTTAATTAAGCTAAAGTTGTTTTAGTGACTTGAGTGTCCCTTTTACTTTGTAAAGGTTAACGTGTCTAAAATAAGCTGGTGTATATGTACAAATGTAAAGAAGAACTGTTACTTACACCATTGAATAAATCACAGACACTCTCCTATAACTTACATATTGTTACTCCTCTCTGTATATTCTGTCTATGCTGTGACTTGGGCAAAGGGCAAAGCTTATATCAGTCATTACAGAGAGAAAACATTACAAAGATGGCTATAAAACAGAAGCAAATGCAGAGGTGAGAATTTCTACATTTAAAAGCATTTTTCAAATCACATATTTGTTAACTTAATTGGGTAAGGAAATGTTTTATCAACAATATGTTTCTTAAGAGGCGTAAATGACTAATTCAATCCAATAAATGAATGTGCGGTAATTCCATCATAGCCAGATATTTTTTTTTTTTTTTTTATGAAAAAGTCATGAAATCCTTCTGCAGATGTGTTTATTTTTTCTTAATACAAGGCATGTAAATTCAACATAAATATATTTTTATGGATAATGGGTTAACAACTCATAAAAAAAAAAAAAAGTTCTGGTAGATTTCAACAGCAATTTTGCCAGATTACACTGCTAAATAGTGTTTGAACCATATCTTATAGATACAATTGTGACTATTAAGAGGAGTTTGATTATATCAAAATTATTGTTTCAAATTGTGACAATAGTATTCAACTGCCTCTAGGTGGCAGCAATACACAATAGATTTGTGTTTAGATAATAACGGCAATCATTAGATTACAAACAATTAAACTAATTGCAGAGTGTAATTTAAAGCCAGTATTTTAAAGACTCTTCATTTTGAAGGGAATTATTACTGCCGTTGGTATTGTTACCTCCTTAATGAAGAAGCTTTATATATAGAAGTGCACATCTGTTGCTGTAATGTCCCAAAGCACAGATGGGCTGGATTGTAACTGTGCTTAGCACACAAACATCCACATAGAAATTTAGGAATTGTTCCTGTGCTGCTCCCAACCCCACAAATTATTTCTCCTGTTTAACCACTCGTCTGCCAGGCGAGGAGAGGCAGGTTGTGACGCATTAACAGTAAAGGAGTTAAAATAACTGGATTTTTTTATTAACCTAAAACTGCTATTTGCTAACAATATCAAAACACATCCCGTTGCTTGTGAAATGAAATGGTTCTGACTTTGGGTTAAATAGGTCTTTGTGGTCAGAGCGGCTCAATAAGCTTGACATAAACTTGCTTAAAACAGTATCCATTCGGATATACATCAAATAAACACAAGGTAACCCCCGGAGAGGGGAAAATATATTGGTGTGCATATTTTGATATTGTAACCAATGTGTTTTCTGGTCAAAAGAAGCATTCCCCCCCCCCTCCCCCCAAATACATTAGGATAAAGTGTGATGGAGGGAAGAGAGGGTGATTGTTGGGAAGACATATGGATTCAAAGGGGAGAAAAGGGTTCAAATGGGGGGGGCGGGGGGAGGGGAGGAACGTAATCCATTCTTTTTGGGGCTGCTCAAAGATAAGTAAATTCTGGGCACAAATTCAAACATACGTTGAGTCCATTTTACTCTTTCCAGAGCTGCATTACATTTTTGGTGTTTTTATTCCAGCAGCTCCCCTAAACACTCCAAATGGATTCAAATTGTCTTGGCAGCTCCCAGGAAAAAAACACCCTCCATACTTGGATCTCACTAGACAACCCACCTGGGTGCTTTGTTGCTCTAGGTTAGATTACATGTTTAAATTGGATGGGGTGGCGGCTCCTAGTCCTAGTATAGGGAAATAAGGTTTCTCAATAGGTTTTATTTTTTGTTATTGTGAGCCCTATATACTGTCTCTGGTTCACCCATTATACAGCTCTTCACAAAGCCTTTCAAGATTCTGTCCTATATGCTAAATTTCACTTCCAGTTTCTTATAAGTTAATAGAATCATATTTATTAGGGTGCTGAGCACTGTAAAAATTAAAAAAGAATGTAAAGGAAAATACACTAAATGAGAGAAGAAGGAGACAAAGACAAAATAGAAGTTAGAGAAGGGGAAGAATAGATTGCTGAATAAAGAGGAGTCAAGTGCTAAGCAGAGGAGTATGAAAGATAATAGGTGAGAGGAGACTGAATGGAGGAAGATTGAAGGCTTTTGAAAGGAAAATGAATACAGAGAAGAGAAGGTCAGGGAAAGGAGAATGAATATAGGGAGATACATGCCAGGTAGAGGAGACTGAATGAATGGAAGATAATGCCAGGGATAGGAAAATGACTGTACGAGAGATAAAAGGCCAGGGAATGGAGACTGAACATAAGGCGATAGAATATGAGGCTGTAGGGCACTGAGTGTAAGGGAAGTAAGCCAGGGAATGGAGACTGAATATAGGGGTGAGATAATATGAGGCGGCGGAGACTGAGTGTAAGGGGAATTGGCCAGGGAACGGAGATGGAATGTAAAAGAAAAAGACCAAGGAGAGGAGCCTGAATGAAGGGTAGACCAGACAAGGGATATGAGAATTAGCGAAGGGGGGGAAGACTTATTAAATGGACAGAAGGCCAGTAAAAGAAGACTGAATGGAGAAGAGAGAGAGGGACAAGAAGATGAAGCAAGGGAAATGAGGCTAAGTAGAGGGGAGTGGGGAGAAAGCATGTATAAATGGAGGAAAGAGAAAGGGGCTAAATGTATGGGGCACATAATGGTAATTAAAGGAGAGAAAAGGCATATATTGACAGAGAGACTATAACATGATGGGAAGACTGAAGGACATTACAGGAAAATATCACTAATAGGAAAATTTCCCAACAAAAAGTAAAATGTGCAAATCTAAGATTTACCATGCATGAACAAAATATACAAGATTGTGTGAAATCAACACAGAGCCTTTAAAACATTAAATTGTCCATTTTCTAAACACTGAATCCAGAGGAAATTAACTCATTATAGGTTTGTGTAGTATTTTTGGTGGACAAAAAAAATACAATTTTCATTCACACTGCAAAATGACAGCAAACTTGAGACCTTAAAGACAGAGAAGCTGCAGAAACACAATGGAGGAATGAGAGATGGGAATTGAGAGGGTCAATTGCTGGAGATAGAGGAGAATAACAAGAGGTATAAGAATAGAGGAGAAAAAAAAGAACATCAGAAAGTAAACAGTGAATGAAAAAGACAGAAATGAAAGGGAAGAGAGGTTAGAGAAGGGAGTGAATGAGAGAGAAGGACATGATGGGAGTGAGGGGTAGATAGAAAATGAGTTTTATGAGTGCAGTATATGATTTATCTAGTAAACATGTATAAAATGAATATGATAAACATATACAACGAAGAACATTTTATGGCCTGAATAATTACACTATTACATTGTTGGCATGTGTAAATCCAGTTATTATGTATCTGCTGAGGCCATTATAGTGTGGCGTGATAGCTTCACCGTTATTTGTTTTTTATTTTACATGTCTCATGAGTACCTTTATCTACAACCATCAGTGCGCACATTAAACATTAGATTTGTACACGTCATCCCATCATACATGCCAAATCTGCATTATGGGCCTGTCTAGCTGTGTAATTATTAAGGGGGTTTAGCACTGAATCAGGACTAGTTTACAAAATATTAGCCAGAATACAAAACTGGAAAGATCTTTAACTTATTTTGTTTTTAGCTTGCCTATTCCTTTATCAATGAGCAGGATTTCAGTTTAGTGAATAAATTATCTTTCATTAGACTTTGATTTAAGGTGTCAGAGTGATAACTAAGTCTATTAAAGAAGCGTATTTTAAAATGGCAATTCAGAATGAATGTATATTTTCTCACAATCTAATGCTATATACCTAAATACACGGATAAAAAAAAACCAAAAAAACACAAGTTTAGACGCTAACAGAGATTACTTTCAAAATATTATACGGCTTGTTTTCTTCTGGTCCATAATCAATATTATTTTATATTAGTAAACCTTTAACTGACTGCTATATTTCAATGATTGCCAGCAAACTGCTAAACATATGCCCCAAACCGCAAAGAAATATCAGGCTCAGCTTGGACTCTAAGGATACATTAAGTGCGTTATTCTACATTCTCCTTTACTATTACTGTGGCTTTTTCCTTTAAACACAAGGTTCTGGCATTCTTCTTTTTCTGAAAGAATTTTGAGACGGTCGTCCCTTAGCTGCTGAGTGAGACAATCAGTTGCCATTTTTTGTGGTTTAGTTTATCACGTAATCACATTTTCAAAGTTGTGTGCACACGATTTTAAGGAGGTCATGTACAGTACATTTGGAGGTTTCTTTTCTCCTTTTCAGAAATATTAGGCTTAGAAATCTAGAATAAAACATGTATTAATTTGAATGAATTGCTTCATGTATCACAATACCTAGGTGTTCCTTGTTGCTTAATGTAGTTATTTTGTGATTGATTACATTTGTCTAAAAAAAATAACTCAGGTGTTTATTTGCGAAACTCCATACTGTAGACATTTGAAATCCAAGAGGCAAAATTAAGGCTAAAATAGATGATCTGAAAAGATACTCTAACTCAGTCTGTTACATCTTCCTAGTTTTAGCCTATTTTTTTTCTATTTGGATTTAAATGATCTACACTGGAATTAACCCCCAATTTCAAATCATCATGCGCTTAAAAATAGAGAGGTTTGTTTATTAACCAGTGCAGTTTTTCATTATTGGCTATTACTGGCAAAACTTTGCTATTTAGTTCTTGATTCAGCCGACATACACTGTTAACGAAATATGCCTCATCTGAAAATGATTACGGACCCCACTAACGAAGGAATAGAAGTCTCCCCATCATATTTTGTTGACCATTACTCTTACATGTGTTCCTAGAATATGAGCCTAGATTACACTAACTACATTAATGTAATTTGTGATGCAGATTAACAGCAAGCCAGGGCTGCTACTAGACAATGGAGTAACCAAAGAAATTTATGAAATAGAATTAAAATATCCATTAGAAAATGTTTACATAGCTACTGACACTCAAGAACACAGGGGATTATTTTGTAAACTGTAAATTGTGTAGAATTACCAAGGAAATTGCAAATAAATGAAAAATTCTTCAACTCAGCTATTTTTTTTAGGTCGAATGTTTTGGCCTTAAATTTACAATTCCCATGTCAATTCTATGCCATTCCTGGTTCAGAGAAAAACCCCAAAAGCGTTTAACTTTACTATTATCAAAAAATATCTAAACCATTATCCAGAATAATAAGAATATTAAGTACATATACAAATGTACTCTTGTGCCCTTCAAGGCTGGGGAGAGCAAAGCAATTTAGCTTAGAAGATGGAGGTATTGGAACAGAAGTATTTCAGTACAGGGAATCAGTTAATATGCTGATCTTTCCTTTCCTTTGGGAAACTCACAATACTCCGAGCTTGTCTCTGGGCGTATAATTTCACATCTTACGCAGTATAACCTGAGGCCGTCAAATTGTTCTACTTGCCCTTCTATGGACTTGGTCCAGTAAATAAGCTTGTGAATTGAACTATTCTTTAATAAAACCAAAACAAATCAGTAAAAGATATTACAATAAATCGTGTAACACGAAACAAAAGAAAATTGTATTATCAAACCAACATCCCAACATCTGGTGAAACTGTAAAATGTGTTAGAACAAAATTAATTATAATAATAACGATAACAATAATCTTTTTTTTAGGTAGATTTAGCCCCATGCAAAATAATGTCTTTTTTTTGTTTTGCAATAGGCTGAAATAATATTGAACAATATCCATATAAATACGAAATATCTTTACCCTTGAGTTGCCATGGTAGTCAGCAATGCATGGTAGGTAGCATATATAAGGCTTTGGCATGCAAGCAAGGTGTTAATGCCTGTGAGTTTGAACATGTAAGTCACGACCCACCGTAACGCTGTTTCTTTTGTGTTTCTTAATATACTGTCACATCGAGCAATTCCCTGTCTGTGTGACCCCAGCTGCAAAATACAGGCATAAAATAAAGTAGATTAATATGCTCGCATTGGAGGAGAGAAGGGAAACTGGGAATTCAAAGGAACTTTTGGAAAGAAAGGAAATGAGAGATAGAAAAAGAGAGGGAAATAAAAAAGAAGAGTACAGAATAACTGGCGCATAGTATCTAGGGATTGTAGGGTCTCTAGGGCTGTATAAGGCGATCTATATTTTTTTGAAGGGAGCTGTGCGTTAAAATATAACATATTAAAACCATTGACTTCACCGAGAGAAACCACTTAAGTTCTAATAATGGGGTTGTACAAGAAACAAACCACAAGAGGGTTATCTCTCCCAGTAGACTTCTGGGCAATATGCTAAAAGTGGAGCAATCAATGTGGAATGTTCTTGCCTAGTTTTCCACTTTTAGAACTTTCCCTAGAATTGTTCTTTAACATAAAGTCCATAGTGTGACTTGAAAGATGACCCAGCCTTCTGTGGTTTGTCTCATCAAAATGTCATAATATGCTTTGACTTGTAAAGTAAATGTATCCAATAATTGATCATAAACAATGATTTCTCCAAATTAAATGTACCATTTGTCAATGTGTGCTGTCCATGTCTTGAGATGTATAAATTAATCTTGAAACAATGCACCTGTTTTGCGGTAGAAAATGTCCCCGTTAAAAGGGTAACAATGCGTTTTGAGTAATGTGGTTTATTCACCAAACCAAAAATTAACATGAATAGCAAGGGAGTTGCCAATCTTTAGCCAAAGTAACAAAATCTGAAAAATTATGCAAATCAGCTCATTTCCATCGTACTGATTTATATATATATATATATATATATATATATTTAAATTACAATTCCCTCGTCACTTCTCCAAAATGTCTTGCTTAGGTATTTACTAAAGCAGGAATTGCTGAAAATTGACCTGAAAATAGTACATTTTAGGCCAAAAACTCCCCAAGGTAAATATATATGAGGACTATTTAAATTTTGGCTCTCTCTGCCTATAATTTGGCTGATATATAACCAGAAACTCCAGGCATTGTATGACCTTGCACATGTCAATGGTCCATAAGTTTAGACTCTTATAGGGTTATTCGGTAAAGTGAGCAATTCAGAGAATTTCAGGGGAGCTGGAAAAATAGTTGAATAGAATTTAAGAGTTTTTTGGAGAAGTAAATGAATGAAGACACAGGTAGATGCAGGTTATATGCTTTTAGAACCTTTTTCACATCACTTTAGGATACAACCTAAATGAAGAACATATTTACTAGGCCGATTTAGTTTGCTACTGCTCTTAAGACCTTTTGGCTGAGGAATACCCTCGCGGCAGAGATTGAAGAAGAAATCTGCCCTGTGGAGAGATAAATAATAGCATTACTTCAAACATTTAATGCAGTCCTATGGGTTTATAGAAAATTGAAAAATTACAAAACAAGAATGAACCGTTTGTCATTAATCATGAGATTTCACATTAAAATAATACTATGTTTATTCATTACATTCTAAGATTTTCCGCATGGCTATAAAACTGACAAGCACATCTAATTATTTGGTGTTATTATAGATATGACAAACCATTAAAATCTAATTGTATAGAGGCGGAAACAATTTATTCTCCCTTATTTTAGTTTTAAGAAATATATTTTTTTTATTTGGAATAAAATATTTCAATCACGAGTTAAAAATTAAATCTGAAATTCCAATTTTGTAATTTGTCTACAATGTATTTTCAGCCTTGTAGCAAATTATAACCTAAAATAAGTCAACGTTCTATGTAAAAGTCTGGCTGTTCAGCCATTCTTGGATTACATTTATTCAAAATTCAAAAGGGTCAGTGTTTGATACCTCTGTTCAAGAGAATGCTACTGAAAATTTGAAATGAGTAACATGTTCATCAAAAGGATGGGTGTCTAATCAACTGCATCCATAGAATAAAATATTATTTATATGCTAATGACCAACCAGAAACCTAGATTTAGTTGTTACGTCTGTTGAATACGAACATTTGCAACTCCAAATTTATGGTATAAAGTACACCTGGGGAAAGAAAATCTAAACATAGTGTTATGTCATTAACACAACTTGAACTGATGAACACAGTTTGTAAAATAATTGTGATGTATTGTTCCTTGTATTGATGAATCAACTTATATGTTTTTTCATTTCTTTTTAATTTCTTTCTTCACAGCATGATTATCGATGCTAACCCATCTTGACACAGAATAAAGAAGTGAAAACTTACCATTATAAATAAGTGGAAACATACTAAATTAGTATTGTTAAAAACCACAAGTATAGTGTGGAAGTCAATAAATCTTAAAATTACAGTAGCTCAGAAACACTTGTGCAGGGATAGCCTTATTTTCCTCACCAAAAATGTAAAATAACAAATATTATAAGTAAAACACTTACATAGACAGTTGAGCACTTAACAAAATAGGGTACTCTTACCCTATTTTAAAAAGTGGTTGAATGGGAAGTCACCAAACAGCATATAAAAAATAAAAAAAAGTACAGGATATAGTGCAGATGGTAAAGCACTAATTAAAATACAACACTAGGTAATAGAATACACTCACATGGAATGGAGCCTAGGAGTGAGCCTTATTTTTGTTGGGCTCCATTCCATGTGAGTGTATTCTATCACCTAGTGTATTTTTTATTAGTGCTTTTACCATCTGCACTATACCCTATACTTTTTAAAATGCTGCTTGATGACTTTCCATTCAACCACTTTTTATAAGAGGGTAAAAGTATCCTATTTTATTGAGCAGTCCACTGTCTATATAAGTGTTTCACTTATAATATTGGTTATGTTACATTTTTGGTGAGGGAAGTAAGGTTATCCCTGCACAAGTGTTTTTGCTTATAAAATATGTTAAATTAGTATTGTGACTTGACTCAGAGTAAAAAAAAAGTAGATAACAGATGATGGATTCATTAAGAGATGCGAAAAAGGGTTTAAATGGTGGGAAGAATTGTAAAGAAAAACACACAAAAAGTAAAAAGATCAGCTATGCTTGAGACTGGAGAACGGATCAGGCACTGGAATTTCATTAACATTGACAAACCATTGTAATCAAAAGATATACGTGTCGATTTCTAGCAAAATGTGCCAAGAGACAAACATCTGGCAGCTTCAGATACATCTTGCCATATCCAAACAGCTATCACTGATGATGGCTGATGGTAACAGGCTTCCTCTTATGCAATGTGTATTTGATATCTATGGCATCTCATTGTGCATGAACAAGGACTCTGGAGGACTTCTACAGACTCCTGGTATGTACTCGTGCACAGCATCTGGAGGCTTCATATGCCAGAAGCTTTAGATGGAAATTAAATGGAGGTGGAATCACTGAGTGGAAAGAGTTTCAGGCAAGTGTATCTCTCTTCCCTCTCTCTCAAGGGCACCACAACAGAAGTGGATATGTGTGTTTTGGGGGGGCCTTTGAGAAAATGTAAAATAAAAAATAGTTATTTAAAGTACAGGAAGCTAGTTTTTGAATAGCAGAACTTTCAGATATGGGGTTTTCAGGGATGTGGTTGAAATGATACAAAAATATACCCTGCCCTTTGCAACAGGTAGCCTTGTGGAAGACCAACATGTCATTATATTTTTACATACCCTGTTATTTTTGTTGTGTGTATTTTTATAGTTAGTGTTTATATATTTTCAATGCATATATTTCCATGTCTTTGTAACTACAGCCTGTGTAATCATACTTTGCATATCCCTGGCACATTGCTTATTTTATCACCTTTGTCTTGTCCATTATGTTAAGTTTAACCAGCTCAGGCCCATATATATCTTTCTTGTTATTTGTTTAATGGTTTTATTTACCTACATGAATACCTCTGTCTTATCTCTTTAACCCCTTAATGACACAACTTCTGGAATAAAAGGGAATCATGACGGAATATTTTCATCATGTGTCCTTAAGGGGTTAATTCTCAATCTTTCCCTTTGTTTTTGCTCAAATGACCCTTAAATCAAATGTCCATAGATGCATCTCCCCCATCCCTTAGCCTATCTGACCCTAATATATATCTCTCTCCCACATCCTGATTTTAAAACTTACCCAGCCCAGCAAAGCACCCAGAGCTCAATCAGCTGTTCCACTGCCCTTTGCAACAGGTAGCCCTCTTTAAGACTGTTTCCCCACCCACCCAACCACCCCATGCTCATTTCCTCATTTATATATAGTTTCCCACGCAACTTTCATTCTCCTGAAATGACAGGTGCAAACACTGATCAGCACACCCTTCCAATCTCTTAACCCTATAGAATACATACCCTCTCTCCCTACAAATAGCTATATACCACACACCAATATTATAAACTTTGATTTAATTTTACATTTTAGTTTTTCACTATTTGTGTTTCGTTTTCATCTTCCCACCTCATATCACTAACATGAATTCAAATATTACCATACTGTTATTCTTAATAACCCTTTTCTCACTCCAATTTCATTCACATCCCTACTTCCTTAAGCACACACCTCAAATTGGAAAACAATTTATCACACACCATGGCCTGCTCTGTTGCTGTAACTTATCTGCTGAGTGCTGGTGGAGAGTTATAAAAAATAGCTCTCCTACCCCCACCTCACAAAATTATAAAGTTTCCCATTCACTATATGGCCGAACAAAAATGATGTCCAAATTCTTATTCCTTATGTTACTTGCCCTTGCAAATGATGTGGAGTCTAACCCTGGTCTCCAAGCTAATTCTAGTCCTAATCTCCCCACTAAAAAAGGCCTCTCTTTTGTGCACTGCAACATCCATAGTTTACTCCATAAACTGGATGCACTGCATGCCTGGTGTTCCCATTACAAACCAAAAACCATTGTGCTCTCGGAATCATGGTTAACGACTAAAATACCAGATTCTGCCATTGCAATACAGGGTTATTCATGTTTTAGAAATGACAGAGCAAAGAGAGGAGGAGGCATTGTTATTTATGTTGAAAAGTTCATAAAATTTACTCATTTAACCCCTTAGTGACCAGACTACTTTTCAATTTTCTTACCGTTTGGGGCCAGGGCTGTTTTTACATTTTTGTGGTGTTTGTGTTTAGCTGTAATTTTCCTCTTACTCATTTACTGTACCAACACATATTATATAATGTTTTCCTCGCCATTAAATGGTCTTTCTTAAGATACCATTATTTTAAAAAACACACTTTTTAGAACTTTGACCACCAAAATCTGTTACGCATCTACAACCCCCAAAAAACACCCATGCTAAATAGTTTCTAAATATTGTCCTGAGTTTAGAAATACCCAATGTGAACATGTTCTTATCTTTTTTTGGAAAGTTATAGGGCTATAAGTACAAGTAGAACTTTGCTATTTGCAAAACATTTTCTCAAAATTAACGCAAGTTATATTGTAACACTGATATCTGTCAGGAATCCCTGTATAACCCTTCACATGTATATATTTTTTAAAAGAAGACAACCTAAGGTATTAAACTTGGGGTATTTTGACTCTTTTCATACTCTTTTAATGCAACCATTTTACCACCAATCTATGCCAAAAAAAAAAAAAAAAAATTTTTTTTTTGACACACATAGCAATTTAAGAATACATGTACAAAGAACTGTAAGGGCTACAGCCAAATAACACCCCAAAATGTATTCAGCAACATCTCCTGAGTACAGTAATACCACACATGTCTAGGTGTGTCAGTTTATCTGGGGGCAAAAATACCTTATTTGGAGGGTGCGCATTCCAGTTTTCCAACTTGGAACTTGGTCATCATGCACCCATTGCCTATTTGGGACATTTTTGAAGCCAGCCAATGTAATTTACCCCCATCAAACCATATATTTTTGAAATGTAGACACCTTAGGGTATTTCAAATGGTGGTATTTTAACACTTTCCATGCACTAATTCTACCACCAGTGTCAGGGGTCCGCGGTCTCTCCCCCTCCTACCTGTCGGCGAGCGGCGTCTCCTCTCCGCCGCTCGCGTCCTCCACGCCTCCCAGCAGCAGCATGTATAACGCTGCACACTGGGAGGTTGGTAAATTATGCAAACGCCGGGGTCACTCATGTGACCCGGCGTTAAAGCAACAGTACCACAATCACAGTGGGAGGCGTAGATATCTCCCACGTGTGATTGTTAATTCTGATTGGAAGTTATCCAATCAGAATTAAGCAAAGGGTATTTATACTTACCTTTCCTGTCTCTCAGTGCCCTGTTGTGTTCTTGTGATACCTGTATTGCAGTTTGCTCGTGTTGCTCTCTGGTTACCGATTATTTGGCTCGTTATTCCGATTATCCTGTATTCTCCACTCCTTTGACCTCGGCTTGTTTCTCGTTCTCCCGTTTTCTGGCTCCCTTTACTTGGCTTGTCTCCTGACCATTCTTAGTGTGCTAAGCCCGGCCACTCTAAGGACCGGTATAGCATCTTTCCTCTCTGTGTCCTGTTAGCGTGTTAGGTTCCAGAATCGTGACAACCAGTCTCTGTCAAACATTTGGGTAGTCAGTTTTTTGTGTTATTATTCTCTCACATTGTACTTTAGGCATGGATTCTCAGTTCCTGTTATGTGTTACTGACTAAGAACACCCCAATATGTGTTCAGCAACATCTCCCAAATGCAACAGTGCCCCCAATGTACAGGTTTTATGTTTTTTTGCAAACTTACAGGGGTCAAATGTAGGGCTTTCCCCTTTTCCATGTTTGCACATTGAAATTTGTCAGATTGGTTTGCTGGGCCTATGTTGCCTTTGAGACCGTATAGCAGCCCAGGAATGAAAATCAACCCCGTCATGGCATACAGTTTGTAAAAGTAGACAACCCACGCAGTGGCGTACACAAGATCCATGGGACCCCGGTGCGAAAATTGATCCGTGCCCCCCCCCAGTGCGGTTACTCTGCGCGGGCCGGTGCCGCTACACATGGCGGCGGGCACCTGGTCGCAGGGGTCACGGTGTGCTGCCAGTGCATGCAGATACACTTAAAGGACCACTATAGGCACTCAGATCACTTCAACTCAATGAAGTGGTCTGGGTGCCAGGTCCCTCTAGTTTTAAACCTGCAGCTGAAAACATAGCAGTTTCAGAGAAACTACTATGTTTCACTGAGGGTTAATCCAACCTCTAGTAGCTCTCTCACTGACAGCCGTTAGAGGCGCTTCCGCTGGACGTCCATAGGAAAGCATTGAGTAATGCTTTCATATGGATGGAATGCATGCGCATTCGGAGCTGAGAGGCGGATCGGGGCTGAGAGATCCCCAGCGCCAAGGGAGCCCGGCGAAGGTAAGTGCTGAAGGGGTTTTAACTACACACACACACACACTCTTTCACGAACAGACGCATACACACTAGATAACAGACACACACATTTATTGACAGACACACACTCAGTGACAGACACACAAACACACTCACTTACAAAACATATACTCTCACTGACAAACACACACTCACTAACATACACACACAAACTAACACACTCAGTAACAGACACACTCACTGACACACACACACTGACACTCACTAGCAGACACACACTCAATAACAGACAGATAAACAAACTTAGTGACACACACACAGTAACACTCACTAACACACTTACTGACACTCACCAGCAGACACACACAAACTAACACACACAGTAACACACTCACTGACACACACTAACACACATACACACTCACATATTTTTTTTTATTTAATCCCCCAACCTCCCTACCTTTGGGAGTGCTGTGGGGATTCCTGCTGTCCCTGGGGTCCAGTGTGGCTGCTGGGTGGCCGGGTGGGCAGGCGCGCATGCGAGGGAGCACTCTCCCCTGAGTGTTCTCTGCCCAGCTCCCTCGTGCGCCGCTTACTGATGCCGAAGCCGGAATATGACGTCATATTCCGGCTCTGGCATCAGTGCGGTGCACGCGAGGGAGCTGGCCACTGCCTGAGGAGGGGGCCTGAGGTGGCCAGCTCCTGGACCCCCCAGTAGAAGAGGCTGGCAAAGTGTGGCCACACTGGCGTGCATACCGGGTCGCAGGGTGGCTGAGCCCCCTGGAGACCCGGGCCCGGTCGCAGCCGTGACTCTGGTTTGTACTCCACTGAACCCACGGTATTCAAAATGGGGTATGTCCAGTCTTTTGTAGTAGCCACAAACACTTGCCAATTTTAGCATTCATATTTGTTTTTTGCATTTGTTTTACACAAAAATGTTTGTATTATACTGAACGGGGATCGGTAGTTTTAGCCAAACGTGGGACCTTCATAGGTTAAGTATAATGTGCGTTCATTTACTCCCGCACGAATAGCATGAATTAGGTAAGTTAGCGAGGGGTGAACAGGTTTTACACAATTCGTTTAAAGTGCCCGAACGGGTAAGTAATAAGTACATGGTTCGTGCGGATGACAGAACGGAAAAACAGGATTAAAACGATTAGCTTTAGAGTTATGCTCGTACGTAGTTCGGCAGTTTAGATCATGCAAAAGCCCCCATGAAACGTAAGTATAGTGAGCGTTCGTCTAGTTTAGTGGCGCGAACGCGGAAATGCACGAATAGGTAAGTATACGTAAATAGGTAATGTGATAGAAAAAAGGGAGCCTACCCCTACGTTTTTAGGCCCGAAAGGAGGGAAATAGCTGAACGCTATTTCCCTCACAAGCTTACGTGAGCGTGCCGGTCTCGTGACCGGAAGCCAAGTACCGCGGCCAGGAAGAAGGCTGGTGGCAGGGCTGCAGAATGGATGGACGAACGGAGGATTCCACTGGTCACCTCTTACTGCAGGAGACTGGAGTCGTTTGACGGAAAAACTCGGACCAGAAGTGCTGGTTGCTATGTAGATAGACAATCAACTAAACCGGCAGAGGTGAGTAGGGGCTGGGAGTTTAAGTAGGGGACTTACTCCTCCCACAAATTCAGGCCTAATGGCCTTTCTACATATCAAATAAGTGTGTGTATATATATATATATATATATATATATATGTGCACACACATATAATCCGTGTGTATATATATATATATAATTATATATATATATATACACACACACACACACAGACACATATACATATAATACGTGTGTATATAAGTCGTGTGTGTATGTGTACACACACACACACTTTGATTTCCTATATATGTATAATATGTTATAATTAAAGCATTTTATAATATATTATACATATATAATGCATATATATGATTTCATTATAAGTATTTTGAGATAAATTTGTATATATCTCAAAGTACACTTATATGTATGTATAATATATTATAAAATGCTTTCATTATTTTATAATGTATTATACATATTTAATATATGTATAACTTTTTTTTACTTTTTAGCAGCCTGGAAGAGTGCCTGACAGCTCAGACAGTCCCCCTGCTGGCAGCTCCTAGAGTCCTATTGCGGCGATGTGATCATGGTGATCACCAGGGGAGGGCTGGCAGCCTTAGGCCTGGGGGGCAAAACCAGTCAAGTGGCCCATTGCACCACCAAATCAGTGCAATGGTGCCCACCTTTTCCTGGGTTTAATAACGGATATTGATGTTATGCTAATCAGTAGCTCTTTGCCATACCCACTCCTTCACGGCTCTGACTTTCAATGTTGTCAGAGCGCAGGCTGAGAATCTCTGAGCCTGTGCTCTGACTCACTGTGGGGACTGTGCTGTGGAGTGCCACATTATGAGGACTAATTAGGACAATGATTTGACACAACAGTAAAAGTGAAGAGGAATTTAGGGTAATTCTCCGCTGTGAACCGCATGAAACGAGTGCTGG